CTTTTTTTTTTTTTTTTTAATTTTGAGAGAGGGTCTTGCCAAGTTGCCCAAGCCAACCTGGAATATACCATCTTCCTGCCTCAACCTCCCATGGAGGTGGGATAGTGGGATACAGGTGAACACAACCACATCCGGCTCACAGTGAATTGTCTCTATGTTCTTGTCAGAACTCAGTTGACCATAAACATAAGGGTTAATTTCTTGACTCAGAATTCTATCCCATTAATCTGTATTTTTGTCCTTATGCCAGTACCACACTGTCTTGATTAGTGTAACAGCTTGGCTTTTTGTAAAATCAAATCTGGTGTTTGTCCAAGTGTTTCTGTGGTTGTTGGGAAAATTATCTAAGTACAAAATAGCAGAGATGGCTAATGGCTGTTGTTCATGCAGTGATAATAGGCCCTTACCAGGCCATTTGCTGCCCTTTTCCTTTCCAGTGATGGAGTACGCATTACAAAATCCCTCTCCCCTTTATCACATTAGAGCTTGTGTGTGTGTGTGTGTGTGTGTGTGTGTGTGTGTGTGTGTATGCGTGAGCACTTGCACGTGTGTACACACCCTCTTGACCTCTACCATAAATGTGACTTGACTTTGTAATTTTGTAATAGTCATGTTTAGAGCCTGAGTGAGTCAGTGGTCCTGTTTTCTCTCCCTGGAGATGGCCAATGTTGGCTGGAGCTTTAATGGTGGTTTGGTGTGGAAGCCTGTCATAGTGCTCGCTGACATGGGACTGTCGGGGAAGCGTGGGTTTGGAAGCTTTCATTAGTATTAATTGCCCCTAATGCACCATCATTTTTGACAGTAATAAGCTAAACAGGTTTGTTGCTCCGAGCAGAAAGATTGCATTTCCTGGYGTTAAAACATTTTTTGAGATATGTATGGCATATGGTACAAAGAAAGAATGAGCGTGGTCCCACGTGAAGCAGGCTTAGCAGCACTTAAAGTGGAGAAATAAGTCTTTTGCCTTTTAGGAAAACTAGTCCTATAGTCTGAGTTTAAAGGAAGAAGCTACTAACCAACAGGGATCCTAAAAAGGATCCTACTCTGGGGGTGAGCACTGGAGATTGAACCCAGGGGCACTTCACCACTGAGCTGCATCCACAGCCCTCTTGCTATATTGCTAAAACTGACCTCAAATTTGCTGTCCTGCTTCCTCAGTCTTCTGAGTAGCTGTAAACTGATCTTCTTATTTGGGGAGAATATTGAACCCAGGGGCGCTTAATCACTGAGCTACGTCCCTAGCCCTTTAATATTTTTTTATTTTGAGACAGGGTCTCATTAAATTGCTTAGAGCCTCACTAAGTTGCTGAGGTTGGCTTTGAACTTGTGATCCTCCTGCCTCAGCTTCCCAAGTCACTGGGATTACAGGCATGCACCACCTCGCCTGGCTAAACTGAACTCTTTTTAAAGCAGGGCTTTGTAAGAGTTATGATGAGCCAGGTATATTACAATACACACCAGGAATATTAGCACATGCCTGTAATTCGAGCTGTTTGGGGAAGCTGAGCCAAGAGGATTACAAGTTCAAGGCCAGCCTGGAAAACTTAGCAAAGACCCTGCCTCAAACTGAAATATAAAAAGGTGTGAGGATGTAGCTCAGTGGKAAAGCACCCTTGGATTCAATCCAAAAAAAAGGGAAGAAAAGACATTATGATGGCTTCTTTTATTGCTCCGTTTGCTTTAAGAGTGGCATACAAACATTTTTTTTTTCTTTTGAGTGTTTCCAGAGATCTGTTGTAGTGAGATTTTAGGAGCAGAAGGRTTTGTTTTAGACTGTTTCCTTTTCATAAACAGCCCTACAGTTTTTCTCTGCAGCAAAGAAAGCTGTTACTTAGGGATCCTTTTAAAACTGGAGTGAGGACAAACCAAAATGACTCCAGTTCACTGCAATACACCCTCTGCTCATGCCATGTGTCTGTAGTCTAGGAATGCTCGCCATGTCTTTAGGAAAACACACACACACAGCAGTCAATTAGCAGGCCTTAGTGGCTGCATTAGTACTAAAAGTTGATAGGAGTCTATGAAAACCCAAAAGTTAGGATACACTGAGGAGCTTAATGCAGTTCTTTGAACAGCTGTTTGTGTATATCCATCTACCAAAAAGAAACGTGACTGTAACATCACTTTTTTAATACAGAAAAGTATATTTGGAAGACAATATGTGATCTACAATCTCATTGTCTAGGTAATCCCTATATTTTAAAAACAGGAGTGAAATATATAAGTGATTAAATTTTTTTCAGGTGCAGAAAGGTATATAATGCTGCCATCCTATCAATTCAGTCTTCTTTAGAGGAGTCCATTCTTAACAGTTTCCTGTGTACCTTTTAACAAGAGGACGCATGTCACAGTGAACATAAGTGCATCCTTTTTTACATAAAGAGATGAATTTTTCACTTTTGTCACAAAGTAGAAGTTCCCAACTTTACCCTTGGGGGTCTGTTAACTTGAAGGCTACACCATATTCCACCCACCAACTCTATTACCTAGACTTGGTGACAGGCAGTGATGCTTAGTGTAATTCTGCTACTAGACTGGCTGTGTAGTCAAAAGCAAGAAATAACAGCTCCCTCTCTGTCTGTAGGCATCTGCCTTGTTCTTTTAACTGCTCCACAGTAATTCCTAGAGTGCATTATCATTATTTATTTAGCTAGTCTTGTTTATGGGCATGCGATGATGATTTCATGATCACATTTACAAATTCAGTGAATGAGTCCTTAAGAGAATGAGTCATAAGATGAAGAGGGAGTTATGTGGTTAATGTTGATGAAGGTTGTAGGGTAATTAACTGTGAAGACAGATCATTTTTATAGCACGGAGCATTGTTAATTTCCTACCTCTCCCAAAATTGGAGGGCTCCCTATTCTCTAGACTTCCTTCTATCCACTGTTTCCTACTTTCCACTCAGGGAATCGCCCCCAGGCAGGCTTGGATCCTTGTCTTGTGCTTCCATAGCACTTTGTATGTCCCTCCATTAAAGCAGTACCTGGTTACAGTTACGGACAGGAAGTGCATGTTCTCTTCCCTGTCTATCCCCCTGTACTTAGGTGCTCTGCATGGGGTAGGAGGAGAGAGGATGAAAGTGGTCACAGAAGACTATCTTGCTAAAAGCTGGTAGCCTAATTAGAGCTCTTTGGCTATTCTTTGCTTGACTCTTCCACCTGTCTTCAAATGGAAATGCTTAACTTTTCCTTTTCTCTTTACTGAGCTTCGTGCTGTTTTAGAGAACTCCAAGAACAAGGTAGCGGCTGCAAGCTATCTCCTTGGGAGGACTGTTCAACTTGAGGGCCCTTTCTCTGTCATATCACCATTTCCTAGGCTCAGTGACAGYCAGGACTGCTAAATAAAATCCAATTGATAGCTGCCTACGTATTCAAACGTAGATGGTAATATCTTTACAGCTTCTGCAATATATCTTTTACATTCTTTTTTTTTTTTTAAGCAAAACAGAATACCCTATTCAACCTGATAATTGAGGCTCTTGTCACAAAATAGTTATTATGAAGGCAGGAGGGAAGGCTGTTCAAAAGAATTAATTGATAGCTATCTTTATCCCTTTTTAACTTTTCTTCTTTGTCCTTGGTTTGAGACTGTCGTACCTTGATAAGACATTTTAGGAAAATGCTGCAGCTGTCCTTCACGTATTTGCCCAGACCACTGTCTTTGTTCCTTGATCCTGACTTTGACTCTGGGTTTGGCAAGGATTTCCTTAAGCGTTATTCTCAAGCCTATCAAATATTTGGAAGACTCACAGATATGTTTGCACATAAAAGTGCCTTGGGTTTGTATAATTTACACGTTCAAACTTAGATTTGAACTCAAAAATTTTCCGTGAATAGACTTTTGGATACTTTATTTATTTTAATCTAATTTTTAAGTTTCTTATGTAGCTCTTTGTGGAAATGTTTATAAAGGAGATATAGAATTCAGAAACTAGGAGATGAAATGGACTCGTTTGTGCATATCACAAACTCCAGATCTCAGTGGCTTAAAACAAAGGTTTACTTTTTGCCCACACTGTGTCTTCAGTGAGTCAGTTGGAGGCTCTGCTTCATGTTGTCCTTCCTCTGAGACCCTGGCTGAAGGAACATACTTCAACCTATGCATTGTCGTGTCCATGTCAGAGGAAATGAATCCTCATGGACTCCTAAAGCTTCCTCCCAGCAGCGGCACAGTTCACTTCTGTTCACATTTCACCGGCCAGAGAGTAGAATTCTGACTCCAGAGGGTAGAATTCTACCCCTTGTGCAGAAGGGGAATGAGAAGTACTTAATAAACTGCACAGACGACTGCCAGGCTTCCTAGTCTCCATGGCAAGTTACAGTGCTGTTTGGTGCAGAATGAGTGCTGGTGAGAAGCTGTATAACAAGGCTCCTAAGCAGGTGGGTTTTGAGTGAGCTTGAATCCTGTCATTTAGTATCAATCTAATCTTGAGCAAGTAGCTTAAACTCTCCAATCTTTAATTTCCTCATCTGAATTAGCCCTACTTTACAGAATTCTCATGAAGATTAAATGAGATTGTCTTTACAAAGCCAATGCCTTCACATAGTAAACACTCAATAAATCTTAGCTGTTAATAGAATTGAGTACTTATTGATTTGAATTACTTAAAGGTTACTGCTTAGAGATTTTTTGCCTTTTTATTTTAAAGTATACATTAAAAGATCTCCTTTTTCTTTTTCTTTTTAAATATGTACCATCCAACCAAAGCCAGAGAAGGAAAGAAGAGATAAGGAGTTGCTTTTTTAGGCTTCAGGATAGGAGAGGTGGGACAGACTTCTTTGCTGGGCCAGTTTTACTATGATCCTTGAAGCTGCTATCTAGATCCCTAGCAAACTGTCCCCCCCACCCCTTGCAAAAAAAAAGGAAAGAAAAAGCACTCTGCCATATCCATATATATAAAATATGCTTTTACCTTTTTAAGAGTAGGAAACTTAGGATATACAGTTAATTTTTTGTATACCTACCAATTGACTATTGTCTTCTATATTTTGTTCCAGCTCAGAGTAAAGATTTCCACTGAAGTTGGCATCACAAATGTCGATCTTTCCACTGTGGATAAGGATCAGAGCATTGCACCCAAAACCACCCGGTAGGTGGGATACCATGTGGGCACAGGGGAACCCCAGGCTCCAGAGCTAAGAAGAACGTGCCTGGGACTGCACCCTTCTGGTGGCGTTTCTGTGTCAGCAGTGATCCGCCTTCACCCCAAATTCAAGAGGCTCTATTCTAGCAGTACTGGTCCAGAGATTCTGGTTAGCATCTAAGCAGATTTGGGGGTTGTCTGTAGCGGTGTTCATTTCATAAGCAAATTATTTATTGCAAGTCCACATGAGGAGACGAAGGGCATTACCTCAGGATGTAAGTGTGAGTTGGTTGACTGTGTCATTACAGCTTCCTCAGGGAAGGAAGCAGAATATTCATTTACCTTCTTTTTTATAATTATCTTTACACAGGAATAAATTTGCTTTAGATGGCTTCATGGCAATTCTTTCTAGCCTGTGGTGGGTTTGAAATCAGTTGGGAGCTTCATAGGTCCTTAGAACTGAGATGTCAGTACCCAGCCAGCACTAAGGCTACAATTTCCTTTCCCCTCCGTGGCAGGTATTACTGCATCRTAGCATTTTTTTTCTACTGAACTCAAACATAGCCTCGGGATATTAACAATTGATCAGAGTTGGATCAGAATGTTGTATGAAGCCTATTGGCAACCCTTCCCCAAACCCTTAGGAGGTAGTCATCAAAATCTCTGGGAATAGTTCAGATCCCAGCTTTACTTAGCTGGGATGACTGTATAGGCCAGAAGAGAATAGGTCAACCCTGGAAGCCTGTTTCTTTTTCTTTGGGGGCAGGGTCTATCTAAGTCACCCAGACTGGTCCCAAACTTGTAGTCCTCCCACCTTAGCCTCCCTGGTTGCTTGGGATTATAGGCATGTGCTGCCCACATTCAGCCTGAAGGCCATTTTGAAGATGGGGTGTTAGCCAGAGCCTGGGAACCTGTAGGCTGGTCTTCCTGTCTCTGGCTTGGTTGTCTTTGTAGTGATGGAGGAGAGAAGAGTAATACTTGAGAACCCACTGAATAATGTCTGAGAGTGCTTTGCAAAGTTTAATTCTCTATGTAAATGAGAATTTGTCTTCATGAGTAAATATAAGTTCAGAGAACAAAATAAAGCTGTGTATGAGCTTTATAACTGTTAAGCCTATTTATCTGCTGGCCATCTTATACTAAAATCTCAGGAGATAAATCTGAAAAGGACAGTTTTCTCATTAAGCCTGCCTTTTGAGAAAGGGACTTTTTAAAACCCAATTTCATGGCAGAAAAATAAATTGAAACAGTATCCAGGAAAAAAATATATAAAAAAAAAAATTAGTGGGGCTGGGGTTGTGGCTCAGCTGTAGAGCACTCGCCTAGCACGTGCAAGGCCCTGGGTTCGATCCTCAGCACCACATAAAAACAAATAAATAAAAACAAAGGTATTGTGTCCAACTACAACAAAGAATATTAAAAAAAAAAAAAAAGTAATAACTCCAAGTTCCCGGCTCTCTTTTGCCCCCTTCTTCCCCTTGTCTCCCAACCTTGCTCACATACACTTCTGGCATCAATCCTGGGATGATTTCTCCTGCAATTTCGACAGCCAGCTCGTAGTCCACCTGTGTTCCTACAGAGGTACACGTGAGCTCCACCAGCTCCAGACTTGGTTGAATTTAGAGCTCATTCCTTGAAGTAAAAGCCTCCAGACATCTTCACAGAGCATTTTTTCTATACCCTGATAAAAGTTTTCTCTGTGCTTTTCTCAGTCCTGGCGTGGGGGCTGGGGTGTAGCCTAGTGGTAGAGCATTTGCCTGGTATGTGCAAGGCCCTGGGTTTGGTCTCTAGCAGGGCAAAAAAAAAAAAACAGAAACAAAAAAAAGTTCCCAGTCCTGACTTTACCAGCCCACTCTGCCCCAGCTACATTTATCTGTCCATCGCAGAAGGGGGACAGCGGGAGAGGGAGGAGTAGGCAGTGAAGGGAGGAGTGCATTCTTTGCCTGTTCTCAGATATGCAGAGCCTGTCTGAAGACCCGTTGTGTAATGTGTCTTTCAGGGTGACCTATCCAGCCAAAGCCAAGGGTACATTCATCGCAGACAGCCACCAGAACTTTGCCTTATTCTTCCAGCTGGTAGATGTGAACACTGGTGCTGAACTCACTCCTCACCAGGTCAGACAGAAGCCCTGACCACTTTCACAGCCTGAAACACGAGTGCACACTTGAGTACTGATGTAGTATATGACTTGGATAAGAGAAATGCCATGTGCCTGTTTTTCCCTCTGGACTCTGATCCCTGATAGTCAACCAAGTTCTCCCACATCAGAATTGTAACCTTTCACCTCAAACTTTTTTTTTTTTGCAGCACTAGGGTTTGAACCCAGGAGCATTCTATTGAGCTACATTCCCAGCCTTTTTTATTTTTTATTTTGAGACTCAGAGTCTCATTAAGTTAGTTTCCTGGCTGGTCTTAAATGTGGTCTTCCTGCCTCAGCCTCCCAAGTAGCTGAGATGACTGGTATGCACCACTGCATCCAGTTTATATACTTTTTTTAAAAAAGGATTAGCTGGTATTAGGAAGGCAGATTAACATTTAGTTGAGGCTTTTAAATGCTCGATTTTTTTTTTTAAGGAATATTTAGAAATAATTTTACAAAAAAGAAAACCTAGGTATAGAACCCAAAGCATTTGTTGTTGTTCTGGCCAAAGCAGATTTTCTGTAATGAGACTCTGAAGAACGGCCCATTTTAACTTCTGCCTGGTTTTTCTAAAAGCAGTAGGCCAGGCTCAGTGGTACATGCCTGAAATCCCAGTGACTCAGAAGGCTGAGCAAAGGATCACAAATTTCAGGCCAGCCTCAGCAACTCAGAAAGACCCTGTCTCAAAATAAAAAATAAACAGTACTGGGGATGTAACTTAGTGGTGAAGCACCCCTGGGTTCAGTCTCCAGTACCAAAATAAAATAAAATAAAAGCAGTAGGTTTTGGTTTTTTTAATATATAAAATGAAAAATTTTATATATGAAATTATTATTGTTATTATTTTATTATTATTTTACATATATTTTTATATATAAAATAGTAATTATTATTATTTATTATTATTTTATATATAATAATTTTATATATAAAATAATAATTTTTCATTATTATTTGAAAGATTTTCAAACCACATGCCCTTCCCCAGGAACTTAATAAAGCCCCTTGTCCTCAGGCACTTCCCCCTACATCATCCCCTGGATTGAAAAGGATTCCTGGCCCCACCATGCACATGATTACAAAGGAAAATTCAGATGAATACTTTGAGTGCTTAAAGACAAAGAATAAGACCCTTCAGGTTTGGCTTGGGTGCTCTACACCAATGCTTTAACAAAAACGGCAGGCTGTGTCCATGCTAAGAGGTGACTTCAGAGCTGGAATGAATAGATTTACTTGCAAACTTCTTGCTTTCTGTTTCTCATAACTGCAGCCAGAGCACCTGTCCCTAGGACCAGGGTCCATAGCTAAGTGACCTTTAAGCACTTCAACTTCTTAGCCTTTTCTAGTTCTCTCCCAGATTGACATGTGCCAACCAAACAGCACACTGGAAGAGACTAAGAAAAGAAGAAATTATAAAATTTAGTGGTAGGGTTAGGGTTAGGGCAGGGAGAGTTAGTTAGGAAACATAACTTTAACAGAATGCTTGTTTCCTCCCAGTTCTCTTTGGGAAGCCATGGCTCAGAGACCTCCCAGGTAGAGGTAATATTTTACATGAGCTTAGCAGCCACTTGTACTTAACTGTGATAAGAGGAAGGAAGATCAGCATCCGGACTCGTTCCTGGCCAAGACTAATTGCTGCAGTCAGGATGCTTCACTAGGCTCCTTTCCCTAAATAATTTGATGTTTATTCTTTGTTGCCCAGGTGTAGAGTAACAAATGAGTCATACCTTTTCTTTAGATGTAACACTAGCTGTGTGACTGTGGGCAACTCATTTAATGCTAAGGCTTCTGATCTGTTAACTGGAACCATCCTATCTGCCTTGTTGAATTCTTTATGTTGAAACTCTTGAAAGAATGGTTTTGGGTGGACTTTAAATTTTGCAGCCATTCTAAAGTGCAAAACCCCTAGTTTCTTATGCCATTGGGAGGATAAARTGATTAGACTCAGTTTCATTATGCTGAGAACACGGTTGGCTGTGGTTTGGTGACCAGCTGGTGTATACTGGGCCCTGCACTATATGCTTTGCATTTGTTATTGCATATCTTCACACAGAGATACCATATGCAGAAGATAATTTTTCTGCTTTAAAGAGGAAGAAATCAAGGTGCAAGGAAGTTAAGTAACCTGCTGGCTAATAAGCAGTGGAGCCCAGCTCTGTCTTCAGAGCCAGGGCTCTGTGACACCAGGTTGCTATGTTTGATTAGAACTCTGCCTTGCCATGGACACCCAAGCCTCCTCCACTAAATCTTTAGCTGGAGGCACCAGGAAATTGAAAATGGGCCTCTTACAGTTCCACCTCATTTCCCTTCTTTTCACCCTCTGGTGAAGGAGTTAATTGGGCAGCAAAGTGGCCAAAAGGCTGCAGGAAGAAGAAATTGCTGCAATAGCAAAGGGCTTAAATCATTCGCAAACTGAGCATTCAGCCTTCAGGCCTCACGAATTGGCTGGACTTCTGAGTTAATTTCTTTCCTCAGACCAGAAAGAGTTGTCCCGGAGCTAGTAACTAGGTTGGGATGGCCAGTTCTTTTACTCTCCAGCGCAGGTCTGGCAGATCCCAGAGCTCTCAGTGTCACAAAAAAGCTAACTCTGCTGCCTGGCCAATATGACATTGGGCCCCCCAGAGAGTTCTGAGACGATCAGGTGAGCAGTGTTCTTTGTTCCCGCTAGACATTTGTCCGACTCCACAACCAGAAGACTGGCCAGGAAGTGGTGTTTGTCGCTGAGCCAGACAGCAAGAACGTGTACAGGTTCGAACTAGACACCTCTGAGAGGAAGATCGAGTTTGACTCCGCCTCAGGCACCTATACTCTCTACTTAATCATTGGAGATGCCACTTTGAAGAACCCAATCCTCTGGAATGTGGTATGTGCCTGAATGCACACTAACCCCCCTGAGCAGCCATGCTGTGGCCAGACACAGACGGCTCCCTTCAGGGACACAGGACTCTTGGTCCTAGCCCCACTGTGCCTCACATGGGATAACGAGCATCATGAGGGGAGGTGCTCTGTCCTGGCTCTATAAATAGTTCTAGGGTCATCCACATGGCTTGGCGCATAGTAGGTGTTTAATGTAGTCTTGGTGAATGAATGAAAGTAAATTTACCCTCAGGAGTTTTAGTGATTTGAAAATTTCTATGATTATCAATACTGGAAGGAGGTTTCTGCAAGGCAGCCTGAGGGATACAGATATAAAAGATAAGGCCCTGGCCTTTGAGATATGGTGTAGCCTTATGGGAGGGAAAAGATTTGAATTCTGGTAACAGTTCAGGAAGGTGCAGGCCAAGGATTTGTAGGACTGGAGAATGCTAATAAATGATGGCCAGCATTGGTGTAGACTGTGGGTTTACACAATCATCCTCGTCCCCACACACCTTACTTTGGGCAGGTGGGATTACAGAAAACTTCTTAACACACTGGTTTTTGAATGAGGGAGGAAGAAAGGCTTGTTGGAATAGTCTGGGGGCTGTGGGTTGATGAGGAAGCTTGGGAGCAGTTCTGCTTTTGGAGCCCTGAACCCTAAAGAGAACAGTCGGGGAAGAGGGTGGAAAGGTGGCGGAAGCCAGATTGGAGCCTCAGCTGTTGACTGGTCCATGTGCAGGACAAAGGGACAGCTCTATTTTCTTGTTATGTTCAAGGCTCCCTCTTTGGACTTTGGGATGCATTTTGTAAAAGAGGATATTTTCATTTCTGCAGTGTGTGTTTTACAAAATCACACTTCCTAGGGACACCAAGCAGTTTCTAATGGCAACTGAAACAGCCAGTGTACCAGCTGGGATTTTTGCATTAAGCAGCTCTATTGKGTTTTCTCTACCATACTGGTTGAAAATTGGAACTCTTGCTCTAAAAAGCATTTTTAACAAATACTTGTTTTGTCCTTGAAATTTTTACTGCCTCATTTTGTTGACTAATAGGTGTGATTGGGTCTCTTGAGCTTTTTTTCATTCAGTTCTGGTCCTTATCAGGGTCCTGCTAGGGAGTTCTCCCCTGCTTCTCCACTCTTTGCCTCTACAGACTGCCTTTATTTTTTAGGCTGATGTGGTCATCAAGTTCCCTGAAGAAGAAGCTCCCTCGACTGTCCTGTCTCAGAACCTTTTCACCCCGAAACAGGAAATTCAGGTACATCCCAAAGGCCTTATCCACTAACATGGAGGAGAAATGAGTGCAATGAGGAAGGGCAGCAAGCGCCTGTATTCTGGCTCTGGGCTCTCTTTTAACCTGTTCATATGGTATTTGATAGTTTGAGCCTCACCGCCTGTGCATTGGGCAGGGCAAATACCAGTCTCATCCTCAAGCTAAAGAGGTTCAGAGAATAGTATGGAGCTCCCAGAAAGTTGGAGATGAAGTCAGAACCTGAGTCTGTTTCCAGATGTGCAGGGGGCTCAGCCCTCCAGATACCACTGGGCGGTCACAGGCACAGATGGGTTTAGCATTGTCCTCTCTGCTCCTGCGTAAATCAGGGCCGACCGGTGGGAAAGCTGCTGGGARCAGGGCTTTCCAGGCAAGTCCTTCTGTTCCAGGGCTTCCCTTCCTTACAGTACCAACTTGAGCAAGCCCAGCCACAGGACTGCTGTGAGAGTCCAAAWGGACAATGGATAAGAAAAGAAGCTTGGAAATGTTTCTGAAAGCTCTTTGCAAAGTAAACCCAATAAATGCTATAAACAATTTAGGTACCAGTTAAGGAAACAGGTGGATCCGCCAGTGGACTATATTTTATAGTCAGGAGAAATGTTCCAACATGGAAAACTACATATGAATTAATGTGAAGTGTTAAAAGGCAACAGCTTGCCCTCATTTCACTATTGAAAAAGGACAAGGGTAGAGCAGCAGGATTCTTTCTAAAACTTGAAAGAACACAGTTTTAAGAACGTAAAGCCCGGCTAACAGAAGGTACAGTGTGGTATCAAAGGTGGAGGAGGCGGCAGCATGGAGTGTTAGAAACCCCTTAATGGCAGTGGCAAAACAAAGAGGAGCTGAGGTGAAAATGGAGGAGCGGGAGTCTCCCATGGGGCTCTCACCTGGCCCAGGGTTGGCTGAGCACGGGTAAGTGGAAAAGAGAGCCACCATCTATTCACTGGATGAAAATCTTCAAAAGAGAGAAAATAGCTCAGTTTATATATATGCATTACTGCTCGTGGAGCATAGTCACGTGCCCTGCTCCATTTGATCCTCATGACAGTTCCAAGTCACCCCTGTTTTCCAGCTGGAAACTGAGGCAAAGAGTGGTAAAGTGACTTGCCCCTGGTCTCACAGCTGAACACAGGAATATGGGCCTAAGTTAAAGTCTCTGGACTCTTGTCCGTCACCACTTCCACTAGGTCAAGTAGTTTAGGTGAACTTCCTGAAGATTATTCATGTTGATTCTCTCAGCAGGCAAAACAAATATCAAAGGAGTGCTTGCCCAGCCTTCTGATTTTTTTGGAAATCAGGTAGAACAAATAAAGGAGAAAGATTATTGAGACTAGCCCCAGAACTTGGACTAGGGGAGAGGCTGTCGAGGTGGGGTTGGGACCTCCTGAAGTGAGGCTGTGTTAAATATTAAAAGGGGTGAAGTTGTCAACAGTTAGCTCCCTGAAGCGGGGCAGTAGTATAAGACTTAGGGACCCAGATGCCACCTAGGAACCCAGAATCCTGACCTGGGTAACACCTAAGCCATCCACATGTGCCCATCTACCTGGGTACCCTTTTTGACACAGCCAAATGCCACTTTATGGGTTGCATTCTCCAGTTTGTAGATTGTAGTTTTTAAGGTAGAGAAGGGGTTGGCCAAGTGGTGAGCCCACGGTGTCTTGGGAGGTACACTTCTAGAATCAGAAACCAGCGTTGAGAAGAGGCAAAAGGCCAAGTGGCTACTTGTTGTCGGGAGGCTTTAGCCCCTGGGAGGCATTTCCTCTTAATAATGGTCAGTGATGCTTTGATTCCTGTTGCACATGGCAGACTGCAGGGAAGGGCACATTCTGAAAGCTTTCCGTGTGTCTTCTCTTGGCAGCACCTGTTCCGAGAGCCTGAGAAGAGGCCCCCCACCGTGGTGTCCAATACATTCACTGCCCTCATCCTTTCGCCCTTGCTCCTGCTCTTTGCTCTGGTGAGTCGCCATAATTAGCATGGGCAGCGTGTGTCTGGCGCCAGACTCGGCAGATGTAGCCATTCCAAAGGAGGCTTTGTGCTCTGGCCTCAGCACAGCTCCAGAGGGGTCCAGCAGCTGTGACCTGAACTGATGGTCAAAAAATTTTAGAATAACCAAATTCCCCACTATGGGGGAGTGGCCAAATAAATTGATCCATTAATAAGGGGGCATGAGAAAGTTCCTAATAGCCACTGAAAGTGAAGTGTATGGACTGTGGTGCTGCATAGTAGGGTTCAGATGCGATCAAGTGTGGAAAAAGCAAGGCCTAGTGCTGATAGCTATGAAGAATAGAGAACAGAGGCCGCACATTCCAGCTCTATTTAGAGCATAAAACTGGAAACAGCCTATGGTTCTCATGAAAGCAAGTGTTAATTAGTAAGCCCATCCGACAGAGTAGCACACTCTCGGGAACAGAGGGGTAGATTTACACTCATAGGACAAGACGGCCAAATGGATTACTGAGTGTGGAAGACAGAGGATAGGATAGCATGTTTATGTGATGCTTTGTGGAATTTTTTTAAAAAATATGTATTAACTTTGGTCACCTGAGGAGAGGACATTTTGGAGAATACAAAAGAAGGAAACTTTTACATTTTATACTCTATTGTATTGTTTGCATATATATTTTTCTCTCTTTCTTTTTTGGGGGGTTGCTGGGGATTGAACCCAGTCCTTGTGCATGTGAGGCAAGCAGTCTACCAACTGAGCTATGTCCCCAGCCCCTGTATATTTTTTAACTAATTAATTGGTTTCTCTTTTGTTTCCCTTTTAAAATCATAAATGTAGATATATATCCTCAGGGTTCAGAGAATTTTGAGGAAAAAAACTCATTAGATAGATCTTACTTTTTGGAAAGTTGCCTGTGTTCCTATTTGTTGATTTTAACAAAATAATTTTTGGTTTATCTAAATCTAGAAGCATGCCACAAGCTTCCAGAAACCAGACCTGAGGTGTGAGCCACTATTCTTGTATCTGAGCATCAGGATTTCAGAAGGCATAGAACCCGTGCCTGCGGCCGCCAGCTATCAGCGGGTTCATCCCTCCAGTTCTTACAGAACTTGGTGGAAGCGTCAGTTACTTTATCATAACTGCATCTTCTGACTTGCCAGCTTTATGGTTCTACCTGTTTTAAAACAGAATGGTTTACTGGCTTTAAAAATGATGTACAGGGTTGAGTTACTCAAGCACAGTTGCGAGCAGGTGCTATGACACCTTTCTACCAAAAAAGGGAACATTTTTTCCTGAGGGTTTATAACAGGGTAGTTGTCACTTAGAAATATTCCCTTTTTCCAGTTTGCATGAACTTTTAAGCCCTGAGGACTATTCATTGGATGAGCATTGGCATGGCATGTGTAGCCTTTCTTTCAAGTTCTAATATCTTTTTAATTTATTTCTCCACATCCTTCAGTGGATCCGGATTGGTGCCAATATCTCCAACTTCACTTTTGCTCCTAGCACAATTATCTTTCACCTGGGACATGCTGGTAAGTGCTCCAGGCTGCTAATTCCATTTAACCTCCTCTGACATTTTGCCTGCCCACGCAAAAGCCCTGTTAAGTAGACCCACAACCTATTAACTATAATGACTTAATAGCATAACATTTCCCTCTTCCTCCTGGCCTTTTTAAGACAGTTAATATGATGATAAACCTGTTTGGCCCATCAGCTTAGAACAGCTGTCATTATATTGGGCTTCATTGTACTAGGAGGCTGTTGGCAGGCCATTTACCCTCATTTAATAGCCCTGTTCATTTCCAGAGATTACTCACTTATCGTATCTTTACACCAAGCCATCTTCCTGGATGAAGAGCATTAATGCAGTTTCCAAAGGTTATCTTTCCCCACCGCATCGATCTTTACATTTGCTGGCGGCTCTGTCTGGACAGTTTTAGAAAACAGTCCCTTATGTAGTCAGACATGCTGTCCTGTATTGTTCTCTTGAGAACTTGGGACCTAAATAGCCTGAACATAATGAGACAGTAAATTCACAAATCAGTTAAGTATTTCTGAGTCTTTGACACTATTGGATCAGTGTTCCCTTGCATCTCACTGAGACTTCAATATTTTTTAATTCCTTTGCCTCTTTTGGGAGTCATCATCTCTACATCCATAATATATGGCTTCTGGAGGGGTCCATGAACGAATCCCTTGAAATTCAGGCAAATGTGCGTCTATATTTTTCTGGGAAAGAGAGTCCATAACTTTGATCAGATTCTCACAGTGGCATGACCTCAGAAATGGCCAAGAATCCTTGCTGTAGTTATCTGTCATGCTTCTGGGCAAAATTGACAGAATGACCTTTCTCTCCAGCTTAGCTACTGCATTTGAATGATAGCCCTCCTGGGTCAGTCTGAGAACAAAACCTGCATATAAATTTGTTGAGAGACATGATTTTTCTTACTAGTATGCTTTTTGTGCATATTTCCTTGTTTGATTTTCATTGCAACCCTGGTGGAAGTGATTGGGGCAGAAATTATGATCCCATTTGACAGGTGAGAGAATTTGGAAACAGAAATTAAGAGACTGGTGAGGGCGGAGCCTGGACCAGAACCCAGGGCTCTGAGTGCTTTTTGTCCCTTCCTAGTCACAGTAGCAAATCATCCTTAATGTTCTTTTGTTTTTGTTTTTAGAGATGGGGGTCTCAGCCTGTGTTCTCCAGGCTGCTCTTGAATTCCTGGCTCAGGGGATCCTCCTACCTCAGCCTTCCAAGTGCTGGGATTTCTGGCACATTCTACCGCATTCAGCTTCCTTAACATGTATTTAATAAGAAGGAAATAACTCATTTGTTTATATCCTGCATACTTCCATTAAGAATTCAAAAAATAAAGGCAGTGGCTCATGCCTGTAATCCCAACTACTTGGGAGGCTGAGGTGGGAGGATCATAAGTTCAAGGTCAGCCTGGGCAACTTAGTGAGACYCTGCCTCAAAATAAAATTTAAAAAGAAAACAAAACAATGGTGGAGTGCTTGCCTAGCATGAGCAAGGCCCTGGATTTGATCCGCTGTACTGCATAGTACCGGGGATCRAAGCCAGGGGTACTTTGCCATTGAGCTACATCCCCAGCCCTTTTCATTTTTTATTCTCAGCCAAGGTCTCTCTGAATTGCCAAGACTGAACTTGTGATCGTTTTCCCTCAGCCTCCCAAGTATCTGGGACTATAGGTATATAGCACCAGACCCAGCTTAAAGAAAAGAATTTTTAAAACTAAGTTTTTTTTTTTTTTTTTTTTTTTCCGTACTGGGGATTGAACCAAAGGTGCTTTACCATGAGCCACATCCCCAGCCCTTTTTATTTTTTATTTTGAGATAGGGTCTTGCTAAGTTGCCAAGGGCTTCGCTAAGTTGCTGAGGCTGACTTTGAACTTGCAGTCCTCCTGCCTGTGTATCCCAAGTTGCTGGGATTATAGGTATGCATCACCGTGCCAGGCAATGGTAAAGTTTTAAGGGAAACAAAACCCGTGTTAAAGAACAGAAATAGATGTGAGCAAGACTATGGATTGAAATAAAATAGTTGAAGTCTAACTTTTGGTTCTGAATTTCTTGGTAGCCAGGGCTGAGGAAGTTATCTACTTTCTGGCATTAAATAAAAGGGATGAAACAAACTAAAACTAATCTGGAAATACAGTCCGTTTCCTGACCCAGCAGTCCACTGCTTCCAAGTCCCTTCCACCCAGAGCACCATCAGCTTTCATTAACTGGGCCTTTTGACTCCTCTGCAGCTATGCTGGGGCTCATGTATGTCTATTGGACTCAGCTCAACATGTTCCAGACCCTGAAGTACCTGGCCATCCTGGGCAGCGTGACATTTCTGGCTGGCAATCGGATGTTGGCCCAGCAGGCAGTCAAGAGGTAAGGCCAGGGCTGGGCTGGGGCCCCGGGGTAGGATTAGACGTATTGGTTAGCTCTGCCAGGCCAAATCGAGACCAAGGATATGTGGCAACAAGATTCATTTCTTAAGGGCAATTCTGACTGTTTAATCCAGCTCAATACAGAAGCCATAGAATGTTTTAAGTCAGTAAAGGGCCTTTAATGATCAGCCATAGATCTATTAAAAGTATAATTATTTATATCACTACTCATTGGAATGAAAGAGGAAAGTAATTGCTATATGTAGATTAAAATGGGCTAGAATATGTGATAAACGGTTGTTTTCTGTCTGGCTGTGTAAAAATCCTCCTCTCTGGTAACAGGATTCTGCCCTTCCCCTCCCTCACACCCCTAAGGTGACACCTGGAGTCTAGCCTGTGTGTGAGGTCTGTGTTCTTCCCACAGAAGCTGCACAGGTTTTGCAGGGGGCTCCCAGTAGGGAGCATCCACCCAGGAGCCCACACACTACCCAAGAACCAGACAGGCTAAGAGTCAGACCTTGACGTGATGGCAGCTTGCTGGCAGCTCGACTTTCAGAACAGAATTGGAGGCAAATTTAAATGTCACATAGGTGTTTCTCATTGATTTGGCTTTATTAGAACCTGGGTGATTTCAATCACGCAAAGGCCAATAGGAAAAGGTCAAAATTGCTTTCCCCTTTGGAAGAAATCATTTTCAGACATGCCCTGCTTTCTCCTCTCCGAGACTTCTGCTATCAGAATGGAACTCAATATCATGCCCTCCAACACTGCTGCCAATTAGGTTGGTCAGAGCTGGGAGAGGTTTTCTCAAGGAGACCATTAGTGGGTGAGAGAAGCAAAGGTCTCCTCTCTCCCCAGTTTCCACTGTGAACTTTTTGAGGGCCTCACTCTGGAGAGTGGTGCAGGCATGCTCTTTGGCTTCCCCAGAGTAATCCAGGTCCCCCAGAGCTCTATTTGACACCAGCAGTGGTGGCTTGTTCCTTTTTTGATCCCTTCACAGCCTTTACTTGATGGCTATGCAATGCAGCTAGAAAGCCCGGGACTCCGAAGTTTTCCCAGAGCAGAGCCTGTTCCCTTGCAGCAACCAGTCTGGGCCCCCAGGGAGCCAGCTGTGCTCTGCTAACTTTTCTTTTCTGGAATTTGCTCACAAGACAGAACAGGGGAGAACAGGGGAGAAACCACTTGACCTAGATGCTGCTTACCAGTTCCTAATCTGAAATCCTAAAGTTGTGTGCATTTTCTGGGGGGAGAGACCATTGTTTTTAACAGAATCCCAAGAGGATCAGTAACTCCACACACACACACACACACACACACACACACACACACACACACACACACACACAAACACACACACACACATGCATCCTGTAAGTCCTGAAGAATCAGTGGCCTTAATAGAAGCTCTGGTTGGGTGTTTGCCATTTCCTACTTCAGCTTATTTCTCCTCTCACTGTCCTTTCTTGATTCTCAAACCCTCTTTCCTTTGGCAGGATCGCTGCAGAGCAGAGCAGTAGATTGGCAAAATATAGGACACTACGGTAAAGATGAAGGGTGGACGCATCCCAGGACTAGGGTCCCTTTCCCATTTTGCCTTCCTCATGCATGTCAGTTATTTGATTGAGTTTTTGGCCCATTCATTCCTCCCTTCCCCTCCCTATGCCAAAGCCAATTCCAAGGCCATTTTATAATCTGCTGGAAGAGGTTATGGCTGGACCAGGGCAGAAGCTGCCTGAGGAAGCCCAGCTGGAGCAACTTTGGCCTGGCTCTGACTGCAAGAGATGCCATCCTTCCTTGTGTCCCRAAGGGTATTGATTTATATGTAACAGCCTCTCTGTGTTCATAGCAGAGCAGGATTGAAGATAAAACAAGTCCAACCTTGGACATTTTAAAAGGGACCCCATCCAAGACGCTTAAATTTATTAAATGGTGGTCCCATGGCAAATCCTGGCACACCTTGTCACTGTTTCTAGGCCTTTCCAAAACCCTAATCTCTAGTTGGGCCAAACAGTGTGGTTTGGTGAGGCTGAATTATGCAGGATCAAGGGCACAGATGAAAGCCAGCAGCAGAGTCCCAGTTCTTAGCGTGCAGGGTGCGGTTCAGGGCCGCTCCCTATGTGACTGACAGTGCTAATGCTCTCCAGGGGTTGGTCCTGGGATGAGTATGGCAGGGAGGCAAGGTGTAGGGAAGGAAGGACAGAGAGTGCCTGCAGCTTCATAGATCTAGATAGAGGTRGACAAGAGGTTTCCCTGAGGGGCCAGAACCCTTATCTCTGGCACTGTTGTGTGAAAACAGCCATAGACCATGTAAACAAGTGGATGTGGTTGTATCTCCATAAAATTATTTACCAAAACTGGTGCTGGGCTGGATTTGGTCTGCATGACGTAGTTGGCTGATCCCTGCTCTAGACCAAGAAAGGATAGGGAGGTATTTGGATTTATGAGTCATGTCCCCTCTTATCCCTTGCCTTGGAAATGGCTTTCTATGCAAAAGCAACTAAACCATCTAATTTTTTATCCTCTGAAAATAGGAAATCAACAAAAGCATAGGATTTAGAGCCCTTTCACTGATGTGTGAACATCGGCTGGGTCACCTAGTCCCCATCGTAGAAAAAAAACTGAATTTATTTTGGCTTTTTTTCCCCAAGTTTAACTGAGGTGTAATTTACATAGAGTAAAATTCACTTGTGTGTGTGGGTATAATTCTATGATTCTTAAAAAGCATATGTGGTTATACAGCTACCATCTCAATCAAGACAGAGACTTTCCCACACTTTTAGAAGTTTCTGTTGGCCCCTTTTGTAGGCAGCCCTCTCTCCCTACCAGTATCCCCTGGCCTTACTTATTTGGTTGTGTCCTAAATTATACTTGTTCTGTCTGCAGTTTGCTTTCAGAACTAGTCCTTCCTGCTCTATGCTGAGTTCTTTAATTCTTTACCCTGAATTGATATTTCTCCCTTGATTTTCAGATTGTCCCATATCATATAGCTTGAGGGAGAAGAAAGTCATTTGATCATTTGAATATTTGGGACTTTCTGAGGTTGGGACCTAGTGTTTAGGTTTACCCCCTGGTACGTGAAGACTTGTAGTTGATCTGAAGACAGACACTGATATGAGCGACCATAACAGAGGGCATTCTTCTTAGTCAAGATTGAGGCTAGGGGGCCACTGCCCTTCTTCTGTTCTTATTTCTCACTCATGCTGTCCCTTCTGCAGAAACTTTTTTAAGCACACACATTTTAATGTACCTGGTATCTCTGAACATTGTTAAAGAGTTAGGAGCACACAGTCTTGCCCCCAAGCTTAGCTTCATGCCTATGTGTGCCCCTGGGAACTGTTTTGGTAATTGACCTGGACCCTCCATTCTGCAAGACTGTGACATCACTGTATGTAGTCCCCACCACAGGGCCTAGTCCCGCTAAGGATGGTGGGTGTGCAGCGCCCCACCCCCTTCACTGGAGCCTGCCTCAACCAATTGGTTTCTTACTGCTCTCAGCGCCAGGTAACAGATCTGTCTAGATGATCCTTTTTGCTTCTGTGTTTCCCCATTGTTGAGTCCAGGGAAAACCAAAGGGACAGAGGGAATAAAGACATAGAGAGGTTTTTATCCCATCTTAAAATGTTTCTGAGTAACTCTCATTTTTGAGAATTACTCTGTGTTTAGATGCTGGGTCTGACTCTAGGTAAGAACATGGCCACGTGGCAGGAATGTGGTGCAGGATACTGTCCTCCAAGCTGCAGAAGGGCCACATGTTGGTTGGCAGATGTGGAATCTGGGAGATTGACAGTAAACATTCTTTAAACCCYCCGCTCTGTTTTGCTAGTTGGAACTTGCACTTTTTGGCCTTGTACTGTGAGAGGTGTGCCTGGAATTACCTCATCTCCTGTATTTTCACATAAACTTTCTTAGTTCTAAAGTTTGTTTCATTGTTTCTAAGTTATCATCAGCTTCAGTTATGAATTAGCTGCCTTACATTTCTTTTGTGAGACGAGATGGGGCATAACTGAATAAAACCAATGATTATTCCCTTATAAATGGGACCTTGTGGTGGGAGAGTGCCTTGGTCTCTGTTGTTACCAGTTAGGAGCTGTAACAGTGAGTCAGAAACTTCAGTAATTTTGTGTTTTCTCTTCATTTTTCTTTCAGAACAGCACATTAGTTCCAGAAAAAGGATGGAAATTTTGAAAACTGAAGTGAATGTCAAGAGAAGGAGTCAAGAACAATTCACAATGTGAAAAAAGGAATTTAAGAAAAAATAACTTTATTTAAAAAGAAAACAATTGCGATGTGGTTGTACTGTTGCTTGTTGTTTTTCAGTTCCCCCCCACAGAGCAGACGCCTTGAGTCCAGACTGCCTGTTTCTGACATGATGCCCTAGCAAGGCGCTCTGAGTGCCCTTAGTTACCCACCCAGGGACTGCATTGGAAAGTTGAAATCTGTGATTAATTTGTTTTGGAATAAAAAGGATGATAACAGGAGCAAAGGCCTGACTGAGAGCTCTCTAGTACATTTGGAATGTGTGACATAAGGACTTGGTTGAGACTTGGTTCTTGGCCATGGGCAGGGTGCTTCTTCCCCTTTCCCAAAAGGACGGAAGTTGCGGGGGTAGCCGCCTTCCRTCTGCTTCTCCAGCAGTGAGCCTGCAGGGAGCCCCACTGGTCTGAAGACTCCTCTTGGTCCACAACTAGGACCTGCTCGAGGCTCTTGCCTTGAAAGTTTGGCGTCAGTCCCCCGTGAGGGTATCAGCTGTCTCAGTTCATTCCTGCTGCTGTGATGACATGCCACAAACTGGGTGATTTATAAATAATAAAAACTTATTTCCTATGGTTCTGGGGCCTGGGAAATCCAAGTTCAAGGCACCAGCAGATTTGGCATCTAGTGAGAGCCATCTAGGTGGTGCTGTCTTAGTGTCTTCACATGGCAGAAAGGGACAAATGTTTTGTCCTCATGTGGCAGAAGGGGCAGAAAGATAAAAAATGAGCTAGCCAGTTCCCTCAGCCAGTACTCATCCATTAGTGAGGGCTTGGCTCTCCTGCTTTAGTCACCTCTTGAGGGCCCCGTGTGTGTGTGTGTGTGTGTGTGTGTGTGTGTGTGTGTGTGTGTACACACACGTGTGCATGCGCATGCGCTTGTGTGTGTGTTTTACTGGGGATGGAACCCAGGGGTGTTTTGCCACTGAGTTACGATCCCAGTCCCTTTTTTGAATTTTATTTTGAGACAGGGTCTCCTAAATTGCCCAAGTTGGCCTTGAACTTATCCTTCTGTCTCAAGCTCCTGACTCTGGGATTACAAGTGTGCAACACCATGACTGGCCCATTTAATTAACTTTCAGGATGCAGGTAATCCTCACAGAGTTTACTGAATTCAGGGTACAAAAGTTATGTCATTTTAATTAGATTGCTTTCCAATCTAGCTGGACTTTACTCCAGTAAGGAATTTGGGATCTTTTACTGGAAACAGGGAAAGGAAATTCTAGAACTCTGGGCTAGTCCCGAAAAGGGTCCTACGAATGGGAAGACAAAATATGGGCAATTGCAGGGCAGTCCCTAAGGTGGGAAGCAGGCCTCACCTCTCCCAAAAATTGCATGCTAGTGGCCCATAGATATGTTTTATTTCTACAGTGTTTAAGTAGTTGAATCAGTTGCTGACATTTGAAAATGAGATTTATATAAAAAAAAGTCTGGGTTTGGGTTTTGGAATCTGGATCCTCTGTTGTTTTCATGCTATTTTCTGGGTGCTGTTAGCAGGATCCCAATAAGCAGTTTGTGCTGGGTCCACATTCCCTCATTCTCCAGCTTGTATTTCCTGAGGGGCCTGGAGTCTTGGAGTCACAGGAGTCTCCCCATGCCCTCCTCCCCTCCGCCTTGAAGAAGAAAATTAGAGCCCCATTAGTGAAGGGCTGCATTACTGACTAGCTGCCCTTCCCTTTGGATGGGATTGTTATGGTCCCTCCCCTCAGATCTTTGTGCTATTCCACTTGCCAATTTTGGTTGTGGTGGTGGTTGTACTAAGGTTTGAACCCAGGGGCATTCTACCACTGAACTACATCCCCATCTAGTTCGTTTTGTTTTTTGGAACCAAGGATTGAACCCACGGGCCCTTTACCACTGAACCACATCCCCAGCTCTTTTTATTTTTTATTTTGAGACAGGGCTTCATTAAGTTTCCCAGGGCCTCACAAAATTCCTGCGGCCAGCCATGAACTTGAGATCCTTCTGCCTCAGCCTCTTGAGTCACTGGAATTACAGGCGTGTGCCACTTTTCCTGTCATCTTTGTTCCTTTGGTAATTGCCTTTGGGACCCCTGTTTTAATTTTTGTTACTCATCCCATTCTGAGGGGAAAGGGCGATGTTGGTCCTCCGTTGCTCTTAGATGGCTCCTGGAGTCCCTACTTCTGCATACTGGGACCTCTGCAAGTCTGAGTGGTGAGGTAGGTGAGAGGCAGCAGCATATGGGATGATAGCAGGGCAGCCTGCTCAGCTTCTCCATTGCGAGACCTGGACARGCCTGGAGACAGACTGGGTAAGGCCCGATAGGGAGGTGGAGGTGGTAGAAGGGCCTCCAAGTAGAAGTGTGAAACATGCTGAGTGTCCTTACTGGGAACAAAGGGCGGCCTGTGACTGAAGGGAAGAGGGCAGTAACAGCTTCCTGGAGAAGGGGCTGGCAAGGCTAAGGAGCACCAGTGCTGCTGGTTCAGGCTGGCCACACTTGCCCTGTGCCATGCTGTCGCTGTGCTCAGTGAGCAAGGCGGATTCCATCCAGGCTTTTGGTCCACTGCAGCCTAAAGGGGACATGTGGGGAAAGGAGAGACTACAAATGTGACAAGGTCTTCCAAAGACCTTGGCAAATGAAGGGTGAGCAACTGCTCATCACGGAGTCCCATCAACTTGAAGATGCTGTGATTCTTTTTGCATTTTCTGAGGGGCCTGGAGTTGCAGGAGTCTCCTGGTGCCCTCCTCCCCTCCGCCTCCCTCCAGAGTCCCCAGCTCTTTGGCCTCCTAGTTGTGTGACTTGAGACCTGATTCTGACCTCTCTGGGAAACTGGCAGTGAAGCCAGCCCTGTCTTCCTCCAGAGGGCTGTTGCAGGGAGCCTCTTTGTGAACTCCAAGTTAATACACACATAAAGGATCATCATTAAAAGTGACAAGTCCCCCATTGATTAAAGCATTTCTTTAGGGGAAAAAAAATAGCACTGGGTCTTAAGCGGGACCCCCACGGGAGTGAGGAGGGAGCTCCGGCATCTCCGTGGGGAGAGGTTAAGTCTTCTAAGCTCCCATTAGAGTTGCAGTTAATGGAGATCAAGCACGGGGGCTGTGGCCACGTGGTTTTTCCCTCTCTAATTGTATTCACCTCGAAACCACAAGTAGCAGCAGGTCCCAGCGGTCATTATTTCATTTGAAAAACTAATTGAAAGTTAAGAGAGTCCCAGGTTTTTGCTTTTGTGGAACAGGCCAGGGAAAGATATGAGCAGGTGGGCCTGGGAGGAGAGGGGTCCCGGGCTGGCCGTCACTCTCCCATTCAGCTAGTCTCCGCCTTTGTTCTCCTTGGCAGGTTCCAGGCCTGCCGCCTCTCTTGGTTGAAGTGGACCGCCTGCCCTCAATGGCCAGCCTCCTCCTCCGAGGGGACTTTTGTTTCCCATTGTTCTTATTGTCTGCTCAGACGAGCTGCCCTCCTGAGTGGCCCCCTGCCGAGCATTTCCCACGCTTCACATTCTTTCCCAGGGACAGCAGGTGGTCTGAACCCTGTGCTCTGCTCTCTGTGTTCTGCTGCTGGGAGACAGGCGACCTGGCTGCCAGCCCCTCAGGACTTGGGTCAAACCCTTCCCTTCCCTAGTGACCAGGTCCTAGGCTGGCAAACGAAGGGTGAGCAACTGCTCATCACTGAGTCCCATCAACTTGAAGATTCTGTGATTCTTTTTGCACTTGTAATCAAGACACATCCCATCATCCAGAATTCACAGTTATTGGTTTTTAAAGGTTTGATTTACTTGCAGTAAGATGCTTAAATCTTAAACTCAATGAATTTTTATATTTAACACTGGGATAACTGCTACCCAAATCAAAATATGGCCACCTCCCCAGCCCTCTTTTGTATTTTATTTAGAGACAGGGTCTCACTGAGTTGCTTAGCGCCTCGCTGATGCTGATGCTGGCTTTGAAGTGATCCTCCTGTCTCAGCCTCCTGAGCCACTGAGATTATAAGTATGCGCCACCATGCCCAGAAAAATATAGAACATTTTTTATCACACTGGAAAAAACACAGATTTTGAGGGCAAGTGATGTGTGCAGATATGTGGCCCAGATGAAATGGTTCATCAGTAGAAAAARCTGGGTAACCATTAACATGGGGACCTCTGGTTAGTTAGTGGCTTCAGTATGAGCATCTTTGGTAGTTATACTTCTTTAAAAATCATCTCTGCTAGAGATGGCAATAAGCCACATAGGTGATGGTACATATTGTTATACCACAACAAAAAAATAAAAATGAGGGGCAGGTAGTAGAGCTCGGTGGGAGAGCACTTGCTTAGCATGTATGAGACCCTAGGTTYATTCTCAGTGCTACCAAGATAAATAACACCAGACAAACTAATTTTAATATATTTTATTTGACTCAACACATCCAAAATATTATTTTAATATGTGATCAATGTAAAAATATTAAGATATTTGCACTATTCTTCCAGACTTAAGTCTTTGAAATCCTGTGTTTATTTTACACTTAAAGCATATCTCAGTTTGTTAGCAATATTTCTTTTTTAAATATTTTTATTAGTTGTTGATGAAATTAATTTTATTTTATTTATTTATTTGTAGGTGGTACTGAGAATCTAACCCAGTGTCTCACATATGCTAGGCAAGCGCTCTACCACTGAGCCCCAGCCCCAGCCCTGGTAGCAACATTTCAAGGGTTCGATGGCCACATGTGTATAATGGCCACTGTGTTGGAAAGCCAGGATTCCCAGCTGTGCTTCCTCTTCTCCCATTTTCTCTTGAACCCACTCAAATAAGACTTTGACCTCCACTCCTGAGCCATAGTCCCAGTCCCCTCCCTTCTTCTTGTCTTCAGTTGGTCTCTGAGAGTGACTTTAAACATCAGTCAGATTATATTCTTCTGCTTAACTCCATGAGGACTTCCATGTCACTAAGGGTGAGATCCCAGTCCCCACAATGACCATATTAAACAAAATGTTTGGGAGGCCATTGTGTAGGGCTGCACTAAGCTCCA